GTTCAAAAAACAAACAATAGGCCCATGCCTGAATCCTGACTACTCTAGATCCAAGGTTACCCTCCTTGCCACTTGGGCCCACTCAGGGGCACGCTGGCGAACAAACCTGCACAGGGTTCCGTCGAAAAGACCCCTTGGGAACAGCTGCTTACGGAGCTCTCTCTTCAGAGACAACAGCCCTTCTTCCGCTCGATCGGCTGAGGTCGAGCATTCCCTGATTTTATGAAACATACCATTAATTAATGTTCGTTTCTGTCTTGCGCAGGTGTATGAAGAGAAATCCTAGAAACATTTGTAATCCAGTCTGTCGCTGCTATCCCAAATTTCTTTGAAATTTTTCACACGATACCAGCATGAGGCCCGATTGTCCTCTATCTTCACCCTGCAACCAAGGAAACTCCATTCATTTTTTCCTTCATCGGTCTTCTTCAGTTTCAGCTTCGGGTCATAGGAGTTCTCGAACTTCTTCAGAATCTTATCAGCCTTTCCCCGATTCTTCCCCTCCCAACTATGCCAAACAAAGATAGACACGTCATCAACTAAACGAATCCCCTTAACTAGCCCAACGTCTTTGCCCAAACTTTTTAAAGACGAGCATTCAAAAAAAACACAAAGGATACACGCGATTGGCGGACTGCTCGACTTTCCCATAGGGATACCTTCCTTTTGCCTGATCAACCTGTCAGATGTCCAAAGGAATGTATGATCCAAATCGAAATCGACCATCTCTCTTATCAACTGAAAACTGACTTTTACCCACCCATTAACACCTCTCATCTCTCCAAAGGAGGCTCCCTTACCTCTAGTTCGTACCATTACGAAGCTCCTACCCTTCTTCTCATACAACGACAGGATCCAATTCATGGTTTTTCTCACTGAAGCATGGGGTAGTTTACTAAACATTTCCTTTATGTCGTACGCTACCCCTCTCAGTTCGCCCTTCTTCTTGTTCGAGGACCACTTGTTCACTTCCTCTAGCTTGGTCTTCAGCAGATTAGTTGACTTCAAGTTGAAATGGCAGCTTGCAGGTAAGGAGAAAAGCATAAAGTTCAGTGTCGTCGTGACTCTCTGATTGGCTATTTTTGCCGGTTCAGAGAATGATGGTAAGATTGGGTGGAATTTTGCTGAGTCTTTGTGCTTGGGCAGGACGTATGCCTTGCCCCAATTTCCTTTATAGTCCCATTTACCAATCTCCTTGAGTCCTCTCTTATCGTAGTCACTTTTGGCACTGACAATAATTTATTCTTCCCTCTTCCAAACTGGCTCGAACGCAGTGTTCCCCCAGAATGTCTCCTTCATGCCCTCCTGGTAAACAACTAGACATACCACAAGCGTCTCAGTTGAGTTTTTGTCCAGGGGACAAAACACAAGTCCCTTTCATTTCTGCTTCACTTGTTCAATCACGTCTAACAACCCTTCATCACCACTTCTCTTCTTACTGACGCAATCCTTTGCTTGCTGTAGAGTCCAAGTTGGCTCTAACCCTGTCTTTATCATCTCCTTGTTTAGCTCGTCTCTTAGCCTAACCTCGTCTTGGCCTCAGTTCAATCCTTTAACAACATTCTTGGCATTCATGCTTCTGGGATCAACATAATCCTGACTGCTCAGTCGAAAGGCAACGTGTTCTCCCTGTTGCGGGAGCTGCAGATCTGAACAACAACAAATCTTAACCAAACAACGACTCTCTCGCCTATGGTTGTGAAAAAGACTCGCGATAGTCTGGTTCTTCCTCCAAACTAAACGGAGCTTCTGACAACGTAGCCTCGCTTCCGCAGCAGACGAGCTCTGCTCTTCAATCTTCTTAATGGACAACCTCCTAACCTCCGATCTCGAAATCCGGTCATCATACTTAACTCCGATAACTACCTTACGCCTAAAACTGACTCCAAAGTTCTTCTTCGCAACGCCATCAATGATACCTTTCAACGTCTTTCTCGAACTTTTTCTCGATATGCTCCTGATTTCCTGGAATATTTCAATAAGCGGGTGGAGCTGAACGAGGTCCAAATTCCTCTTAGACCATGGGCACTTCAGTAGCTGGTACAACTGTTTCCTAAAAACAGGATTCCCTGGTCGTCTTTCCCTTATTCTGAGAAATTTAACCTCTCATCCCTTTTCTAACTCTTTCTTCGAATTCTTTAACTTCCCTGACTCGTTCCTAAAATTCACGTCAGACTGTCCAAAGACCAGCTTAATAACGCTCCAATCTTCACACGAAATTTTCCCACCTTCGGAAACTATCACTCTCTCTTTCTTCCCTTTAACTGCCTTAATCAGTTCGGAAAGCTTCCCGGAGCTCTTCCCATTCCTCACATGAAAGCGCAGGACCTTCTCATCCTCAAAGCTTTCTCTTCTCTGTTTTTTTCTCTCCCTTCTTCCTCTCCTCTGCTTCTTCTTCCTATTCCTCCCATCTTTTCAACCAATAACGTTCAACACAGGGCACCAGCGTCTAATCAGATTCTTTTCAAGCTTTTCCAGCTTGGAGCAGTCTGCCAAGGCAACATGTAAGGCTACGTACGACTCTCATCCCCACTTCCTTAGCAACTGATATAGCTTATTCTTTCTCATCCGATTTCTGCTCTTGGCCCTCCCGACATGCTCCGCCCATCTCTCACTCAACCGTCTCTCAGTCTTACCTACATAGGTAAGCTTACACCACGGATCCAACAGGACATAAACACACGAGTTAGGGTCATTCCACCTATCACGGGTTTTCTTGAAAATTTCCCATACAAAGTGAAAGACCATCACTTGAATAGGCGAGAAGTAAAAACACCGTGAGGTGTGAAGCTTACTCGTACTAATTACGATTCCGATTATCGGGGATAATGGGGATAAATACAAATATCGGATTATGGATTTAGTGAAATATTTAACATTTTCAATGATTCTTTTTCTTTTAGGTATTTGGGAAATCTTTTTAAATAGAAAGAATATCCTTATTATGTTAATGTCAATTGAGTTAATGTTACTTGCTGTCAATTTGAACTTTCTAGGTGAGCATATCCACCACCCGGTAAGAGGCACCTCAGCATACGATTGCGCGTTATCTATTGTCTTGGGGGTTGAGCAATTCCGAACATTTCAGGATCTTCTTACGCCAACAGATTTCGTTCTCCAAGATCAGAAGCAGTGTAGCATTACGAAGAATATTCTCAACTAACGGTAGCAGTCTCTTACCTCTCGGATTAAGTTTGCACCATCTTCGAGCTTCCAAAAACTTCAATAGAGTACACCAACTTTCATACTTACTTTTCAAGCTCGTTCTCCGGGTCAGCGAGTTCGTCCCCTATCTGTTCCTCTTCGGCTGACTTGGCTGATGTAGAGCCAGCAGACTTCTTGTTGCGGTAGCAGTACGTAATACGTAGCTCTGATAGGGTATCGATTGCATCATTGACCCCATAAAACGGCAGGCCAGCTCCCTTGCACATCACTTTCAAGGTTTCCGGATAGAACGAAGCAATCGTCTTCCTTACTGCTTTGCGGAACGCGGCTTCGGTTGCATACTTTTCTCCCGTGGGGACTCCCTCCCACGGATCTTCTCCCTTCGCCAATATTGCCATCTGTGCCTCAAGTTTAGAAGGTCTTCCTCTTCCTTTCTTCCTTTGGCTTGCTGGGGTCTCGACACCTTCCTTCTTCCCGAGCTTCTTCGGAGTCTCCACTGGCGGACTACTCTCGGCAGCACCTGTAGAGTCTCTCCTTTTTCTTTTGTCCTTCAACGGGGTGGTCAAATCCTCCTCCTCCTCTTCGGATTCTTCAGAAGTTGAAGACGGTGTAGCTCCCGCCTTCGCTTTCTTCTTTCCCTTGATCGAGACTCCTTTCATCTTCTTAGTTAGTCCCACCAACTTTTCCAGTTTCTTATCATACTCCGCTGCTTGCTCGACCAACAGCTTGCGGATCTCCCAGTCCCGTTTCTTCTCCTTCTCCTCCTTCGCCAGTTTCTTTTGCATCAAGAACCTCGCCTCTTCTCCTTTTGCCGCTTTCTCGGCAAAATTCCTTTGCTTTACGGGCTTCCTCCTCTCGCTTAGCATCTTCGGCTTCCTTCTGCTGATCCAAAAGTTGTTTCGCCATCCTTCCCATGGCGCTCAGCGACTCCTCAAGGTCTCTACCAAGAGAAACCGTTCCTCCACTGTTTCCTGGTCGTACCTGCAACTTCGGACACTGACTTTGTAATGCCCAATCTCCGCATTCGTAACACTTCACTGATCTTAAGCCGTCGCCCCTTCTTCCATAGTCTTCTGCAGAGTAGCCCCGTCTACTGTCATATCTTCGCTCTCTGTCTCTCCCCCTTTCGCGTCGATCGTCCCCACTATCCCAACCCCCGCTGTCATATCCTCTCGGTTTATCGTATCTCCCCAGGATTCACCCCTTCGACTCCCCATTCTGTGCAAAGCTTCTTCAGTCCTTCCTCGTACTCCCTTGCTGGGTATAGGTCTTCTCTTCTCTTCGACAGGCAGTAGCCCACCTTGGTTTGGAATTGCAATTCCAGTGGCGAGGCTTCGCTCTTCACAACACGTCGGTACTCCTTTACGTGGTCAAACTTCAACCTCTGGCGCTTTGCCAATGCGAACTCCTTGCTTCAAATGTATATCACTTAGCATCCAGCACCTCGCTAACACCAGATCCGAGTAACATCCCTCAGTAGGTTATAACGCTCGGTCACAGGCAGGTGAGTATGATGCAGCAGTCACGGACAGCAAATCAGCCACGGACAGCATGCAGCAGAAATCATTCACATGAATGAACACAGTGACGACAATAGAACTCTCAGCAACAACGAACGATGACGACTTGAGATTGCTCAAAAAATGTGACAGCAACTGCCGACAGAACGAAGCACATGGCAACCCCAAGGGCGCGCGAGAAGCGCGGGAACGCCCTGCACACGCAACGTCTACGCTTCGACGTTTGAAGAGACCCTACGATTCACTGTGCTA